ACCAACGAATTTTTCGACTTATTTACTGTATTTCTCCTCCTTCAGTGGATATAAATCAACTTTCACTGACAAAAACTGCCTTCCAGTCTTCGACGGAAATGTGGCCAAGTAGACATTACAGGGGTTTGCATGAACTACCAACACCACGCAGTACCATCAGGGCCAAGTTCGGACCAAATTTAGTAAATTGCTTGAATTGGATAAAAGCTACGAAAAATAATGACAGCTAAATATGTAAGATAGCCATTAGTAAAAGCTGCCTACTTCTATCTATCAAAGCACTGTGCCCGCGATGAAACACTTCAGTTCAGACTGAAAACCCTAGATTAAGTTGACATTTAAGAATTTCATGAGAAGAGACAGTGGAAAATCATCTCATCCAACGCTTTAGAACAAATGGCCCCGTCTGTGAAGTATACCCGATTCAAAAATGTACTGCCAAACACGATCTACATATTCGTACCAGTGCAGCAGTACCGTCCACCCCCTTCCAATGATTGGGCGTAAAGTTCAAGAGGAGTAACTTGTTCAACAGTGAAGGCCGATCAAGTCCATTTGTTGTCAATGCATTTTTTATAGCATTTTTGTGGTCGCGTAATCAGATTACATCACCCCCGCCACAAATGTAACTGTTTGATTGCACGGCCAACAATGCCTTCGACCATAGGGTTCAATAGGCAGAACAACATAAATACTAATGGCTGCTAACGAGAGAAGCACAAATAAATTATACTAAACTCTCGAATCTCTTATTTCCAAAGTTTAGGCCGCAATGACCAGCCCAAAAAATGTATAAATCAGACAGTTTCGCTGAGAAGAAGACAGTGTCCTGAAGTGACGTGTGAAAAATTACTAACAGCCACTGGGATTAACAAAAAGGAAGCAGGGAACACAAGCATAATATATAAGAGGATTGAAGGAAATGTCACCATAATCTGTATCATTCTCAGACGACAGCTTGTTTGCCTCCCACACCTGATCCTAACCATGTGATAATTTACCAACTCATCCCCTCACTGGAAGGAAACGAAGGAGGAAGGTGAATAATCTTCCAAAAAGAAACCAGAATGGTCAGAGGAGTGTTAACCATCGCATCGACTAACGAATAGCAGCCAACTAAACCTCAGTAAATCAAACTTCGCAGCCAACACGAGCATTCAGAAAAAGGAAGGCTTGCCTATGTTAATCTTAAAGGCACAGCTCACGATAATTTTGGGTACTCCAGATTATGATGAAAAATGGAAGACAAGATCGAAACTAGTGCGATGAAGGTGAAGAAACTGCGTGAATCGGTGTTTCCAAAGTGAAAAAAGGCTCGAAAATCCGTTAAAAAGGGGGCTGGACGAGAATGAGAGCAGGGAAATGAAGAAGAGTGGGGCGTTCGGACGAGCTATACAATGCGCCTCACTGCATGCGTGT